TCAGTATTACTTCTAAGTTACGTATTGCTGGACCATAAGTATTAAAAAAAGAAGAAGAACGTTACTTTGATTCTATGGCTACTGGTCTTTTAAGTCCTGAAATACGAAAAAGAAGAGTGACGCTGGTGGCGCCAATGTGGAAAAAGTGTGATAATTTGGAACTAAAATGTTGTTGACATTTTTATATTTATGTAAAGATCTGCTCTAAATTGTCCTAAATCTTGTTTTTTATGAGTATAAAACAGATTGAACTGTTGTTACAAAATCGTGATAAACAAATAATACACACTTATTTTAGTTGAATCAATATTTTCTTTTAGGCGCAGTATTATTTATGCAGCAAAAAATGGTCATGACAGGACGCCATTGTTCGTTGTTGGAAGTTCTTTTACAATTTTCTGATTTTTTGGTAGAAAAAGTGGTTCTTCAGTGCACTATTTGAGCTTACTCGGTTCCTTAAGGCCTGTTTAATCTCCTGTAAATGTAAGTACCCATAGTTTTGATGCTTTTTTTTATAGTTTTCTCTCAAATATTTCAATTACATCATCGTTAAAAACATACATTTTCAATTTCATCATTTTCTTTTCAAAATCGAGTATATGGAAATACAAATACATTTCTAGAAATAAAATAAAAAAAAAAAAAAAAAAAAAAGTTATTTAGAATATTGCTTTATATTTAGAAACATTTGGTGTTTTTTTTTTAGTAGAAGTTTAAAGATGTTTTGTATTCTTAAACGTAATATTTTTGGTGTTTATCTGTCCAGGCCTACCTCCATAGTCCAAACAAGTATTTTCTACCTCTTTTAGAATAAGTCAGGGTACCTAAGTCAGTGTTAATATACCCTAAGGTGCCTGCCATTCTCCACAATTTCCTAATACTCCCAAATTAAAAAAATACAGTTTTTACAGTTTTAATATTATACCCCGTTTGTGACCCCGTAGTCATATTTGTTAGTTAAATTTATTTTATGTTGCTTTAATTATAATTTTCTTTTTTAGGTTTTATTTCTTTACACATCCAACATGTAAAGACCAGCTACGAGAAGAGACCTTGGTCACCCCTCATATAATCCTGACTTTTGTCTATCATTCTGGTTTATGAGATTGGTTTTACTTTATCCAGTTAAAAGTAAGTTTTTTTATTATTTAAAAACAATTTTAATAAATTTGTTAAATGTTTACTAAAACACTAACCGTATATTTTTAAGGTATATTTAGTATTAATATGGAACAAACCAAATAAACACAATTGTTCTAGCATAATTAATAAAATATAATATTATTTATTTATTTTTACAGATTTTGTATAACAAATCAATGGATGAATACAATTGCAGGGCAAAATAATAATTTTGATGTATATATTACGAACAATTCATCAGGGCTTACATGTATGTATATCTAAAATTTTATTTCTTTTGGGTAAATATATTTTTATTGTTCTTTATATCATAAACAAATTCAGACCATCTATTTATATTTTGGGCCAATTTTTGACTTCTGGACACCTCTCTTTCTTTTTACCATCTGCTTAGAATTTTACTTCAAGTATTTTATGGTTAAATTTCATATTTCTAATAGCTTGACTCCATTGTATAGGCATTATAATTTCATCATCTTGTAAAATAATTGTAAACTGTATTTTAATAAGTCTTCTATTTGTATTATTTTTCTTATAGGTACCATTCTTCTAATATTTGCTTCTGGAATCTTACACAGAGTTTAAGTTTTGATGGATTCATTTTCATGTCATTCTTTTTTAATCATAAGCCATGAATTGGGCTAAATTATTAAATATGATATAATAACACAATAACACACGTAAAAATCTCACAATGATAACTAATTTCGCCTCAATTCCTGGCGCATTCGCCATTTATCCAAATCCTGATTCATCCATCAATATTTTCATCTAGCTTTCTATTAATATTTTTCTACAAAAAAAAAAAAAATATTTTCATTATATTGATGCCTACATGGAAGTTGTTATATTTTGGATTTATTTTTTTACATAAAGTTTTTTTTTTTTTTAAAAGTTCATAAATTATTGTTTTTGAATGGGATTTTTTACAGCTTTGGAACAAGGATTTTTTTTCTTTCACTTCAAGGATTCTTTTTCTCACTTCAATTCAACCACCCTCTTCGAGATGCCATTAGGATGATTAAATTCAACATATTCAACAGTGGATTGAGAATGAAATTCATCATTGAAGAGGAAGGTAAATAATTTAGGTAAATTAAAAAGTTTTTTTTAATGAAATATTTTTAATAAATACCTAATATTATTGTATTTTATAAAATGTTTAGATATAAATGATTAATTTCAAATGAAATATTTTGGCGCACAATTTACTTTATTGTAGATAAATAATAATTTATTTTTGAGCAGCTGTGCAGTGTGTTCTTAACGTGTATATAGAGTTGCCTATATAAGGAGTTGGATGTTTTAATTTATATTTTTTAACACTTTTTAATTAGTACAATTAAAAAATCAAACTAAAGCCTTAATTCACTAGAATACATCAAAACACTTTACTTTTTTGTATATTGTGGCGAATTAGTGTTTTATTGTGCTATTGTAACACCAAAGGTTCCTGCCTCCAACTATAATAATTATTATTAATATCGTAGATCATTATTTTTTTGGTACAATATAAGCGTAATGTAATTATTCGATTTTGGAACCTTTTTGGGACACACTGTACATGTACAAATTGTACAAACACACTGTACAGGGTGTCCCACTAAGAATAGCTCTCGGCTGTATCTCGGAAAGTATTAGCCATAGGGCAAATGGAAAAAAATATTTATAACTACAGGGGCTATGAGAAATTGCTGGAAATTATTTTCCCCCACCACTTTATTTTAGCAGATATATGGGAAAATGGTTCTAACAAAAAAAATCCAAAATTTACTGTACCCATTCAAAATTCTGTAAAAATTATATTTTCTTATTTTCCATAGCAGTTTCGCCCTCTAGCTTTGAACTTGAAAATTATTTCCAGCAATTTCTCATAGCCTCTTTAGTTATAAATATTTTTTTCCGTTTGCCCGACGGCTAATACTTTCCGAGATACAGCCGAGAGCTATTCTTAGTGGGACACCCTGTACATAAGTTATTTTATGGTATTTGATTTACGATGTTTAAAATACCGCTTGATAAAAAAACGGCGTCCAGTTAGCTTAGAAATGACGATCGATGACATTCCCCATATATTTTTACATATAAAATGACAGCGATCTTCATTTCATAGCCATCGCTGACGCCGTTTTTTTATTTCGATCATACTGTAATTATAGATACAGCTAACTTACCTATGCTTTTTTCCTGTATTACCAAAATTTCTCTTATAATATTTTATGTAGCCTATATTCCCTGAAAATATTCACTGGTTATTTAAATTTATAGTAATATTAAAAATTCATATACAAGGGTAATAGTAATCAAGCTTGTTAGTGAACAATAATTAATTATTTCTTTATTTTTTTTACAGAACCTAGACTTTCCAGAAGCTTAGTCAGAAGATTTATCCTCATCAGCATGTCCATCAACACCTGGGATTATACTCTTTGTTAATAAAATATAATATGTAAAATACATAATACTTAATAATAAATGAGTTTTATTGAACCAAAATATATACAGATTAGAAATACTGTCCAATCCTGAACAAGTAGAAAATGTCATTTAATTATCACAAAAAGTATATATTCTAATCACTAAAGAACTTAAAAGTTTTTCTGGAATAGACAGTATTTTATAAAAAAATAATACCTATGATTACCTCTTCGCTCTTATGTACTCCTGATACAAACGAGAAAATTCAGCCTTTAACAAAAATTGAATGAAAACTTTTAATCCTCCTCCAAAATTACTGATTTCTATCAGGAACACATAAGTGTGAAGAGGTAAGGAGTAAAATAAGTACCGATATTTACCTGTTCGCTTTTATGTACTCCTGATACATATCCGAGAAAATTCAATTTTTGTCAAAGACCGCACGAAAATTTTTAAACCGAGTCAAAAATCGCCGATTTTTATCAGGAACACATGAGGGCGAAGAGGTGAGATTTAAATTTAGTGCCGCATTTAAATATAGCATTAATCAACGATATTTCTGCTATCTCTAGCACTTCGAACTCGTTTCCAAACTTCAACCCTTAATATCTCGGAAACTATAAGGGTTAGAAAGGAACGGAACTCGGCTTTCGATAGGCATTTCAACCCTCTATAAGGGCGCAAAACGAGGGCGCGATCCGAGACCAAAAAATTTTTTGGCGAAAAATGAGGTAAGGGGTTAACCTTCCTTCATTTTTGGCGAAAATTTTTTTTTGTCTCCGATCGCGCCGTAATTTTGCACCCTTATAGAGGGTTGAAAGGCGAATCGAATGCCGACTTCCGTTCCTCGATAGCTCTTTTAGTTTAGAAGTTATGGCCGTTTTTCGAAAAAATCTAACTCGTTTGAGCTCGTTGGTCGGGTACTCCAAATTTTGCCAGGTGGAATTATTTTTGACAGCTTTTATTAAAAATGAGATGTCTCGAATTTATTTCGGGAGCATATGAGTGCGATACACGTATAATTTTTCAACAACTAAATCACCTCTTCGCTCTTATGTGCTCCTGATAGAAATAAAAATATTCGAATTTGTAACAAAACTTTCGATTTCAACGAAGTTTCCGATTTCTATCAGGAGAATATAAGAGCAAGGAGATGAATTATATCTTTTGGAGTATATATTTTATATTTTCACTAGAAGTAAAATATTTTCGGTAAATCTTTTTTTCAAATTCAGAAATAAAACAACAATTAATTTTAATAGTTTTATTTATTCATAATAAAGTACTAGTATACAGATATTTGACAAAGATAGAACTAAATCTAAATAAGAATGAATGTTTGCTAAACTGATATAAAATATAAAAGATCTAAGTTTTATGATCAAGCAGGCCTTATATATATGATCGAAAAAAGGCGTCCAGTTAGCTTGGAAATTACGATCGATGACATTCTCCGCATAATTTCCATATAAAATGGCAGCGACTTTCATTTCATAGCTATCGCTGACGCCGTTTTTTTTTCAATCATATTGTATAAATCATAAGTAGGTCGTGTCATTATACAATATAATCGAAAAAAAACGGCGTCAGCGATGGCTGTGAAATGAAGATGGCTGTCATTATTTTATAGGTAAAATAGGAAGAATGTCAACGATCGTCATTTCCAAGCAAACTGGACGCCGTTTTTATTCGATCATACGGTACAAAGTATGCCTGATCATATAATGTTTTGATCAGGGATGGGCTTTCTCTACATGATTTTACGTTATGGTGGAAAATACACGTAAATTTATCCAAAAAATCATATATGGGTATTTTTTTACACGTAAATTTTAAAACAAATGTAAAAAACGCAAAATACTTAGTTCAAAAGAGGAAAAATTACATTTATCTTCCTCCTAAAAATACATTTTATATTATTTTTGCTTATACAAAACAGAAGATATATTAACAATAAAATGACTAAATATACTTAAAATATTACGGTATGATTGAAAAAAAAACGGCGTCGAGTTGGCTCTGAAATACCAATTATTATTGAAATTTCCAATATAAATTTACGTACAAAATGATGGTGATCTTAATTTCCAAGCTATCTCTGACACCGTTTTTCCCGATCTTACGGTATATTTTATACACAAACAGCGTTTTCAAAGAACGTTTAAATATATATGGTAAGATCGAAAAAAAACGGCGTCCAGTTGGCTCTGAAATACCAATTGTTGAAATTTCCAATATAAATTTACATACAAAATGATGGTGATCTTAATTTCCAAGCTATTTTTGACGCCGTTTTTTTTCGATCTTACGGTATGTTTTATACACAAACAGCGTTTTCAAAGAACATTTAATTATATATGGTATGATCGAAAAAAAAAACGGCGTCCAGTTGGCTCTGAAATACCAATTCTTGATATTTCAAATATAAATTTACATACAAAATGATGGTGAACTTAATTTCCAAGCTATCTCTGACGCCGTTTTTTTCGATCTTAGGGTATATTTTGTACACAAACAGCGTTTTCAAAGAACGTTTAAATATATATGGTATGATCGAAAAAAAAACGGCGTCCAGTTGACTTTGAAATAACAATTGTTGAAATTTCCAATATAAATTTACATACAAAATTACGGGTTTTCTTAATTTCCAAGCTATCTCTGACGCCGTTTTTTTCTCAATCTTAATGTATATACTTTATACACAAACAGCGTTTTCAAAGAACGTTTAAATATATATGGTAGAATCGAAAAAAAAACGGCGTCCAGTTGGCTCTGAAATACCAGTTGTTGAAATTTCCAATATAAATTTAAATACAAAATGACGGGTTTTCTTAATTTCCAAGCTATCTCTGACGCCGTTTTTTTTCCGATCTTATGGTATATTTTATACACAAACAGCGTTTTCAAAGAACGTTTAAATATAATATATGGTATGATCGAAAAAAAAAGGCGCCCAGTTGGCTTTGGAATAACAATTGTTGAAATTCCCGATATAAATTTACATATAAAATAACGGTGATCTTAATTCCCAAGCTATCTCTGACGCCGTTTTTTTTGATCTTACGGTATATTTTATACACAAACAGCGTTTTCAAAGAATGTTTAAATATCTTTTATAAAACTAGAAATTACTGCCCTGGAACTGTATACATCCATCGATTTGTCGTACAAAATCTGTAACAAAGAAATAAATAATATTAAATATATGTTGTGATAAAAAATATAGTTACTCTGTTAAGAAACATTTAACAAATTTATAAAAGTTGCTGTATTAAATAATAAAAAAAAACTTACTTTTAACTGGATAAAGTAAAACCAATCTCATAAACCAGAATGATAGACAAAAGTCAGGATTATATGAGGGGTGACCAAGGTCTCTTCTCGTAGCTGGTCTTTACATGTTGGATGTGTAAAGAAATAAAACTCCTAAAAAAGAAAATTATAATTAACGCAACATAAAATAAATTTAACTAACAAATATGACTACGGGGTCACAAACGGGGTATAATATTAAAACTGTAAAAACTGTATTTTTTTAATTTGGGAGTATTAGGAAATTGTGGAGAATGGCAGGCACCTTAGGGTATATTAACACTGACTTAGGTACCCTGACTTATTCTAAAAGACGTAGAAAATACTTGTTTGGACTATGGAGGTAGGCCTGGACAGATAAACACCAAAAATATTACGTTTAAGAATACAAAACATCTTTAAACTCTACCAAAAAAAAAACACCAAATGTTTCTAAATATAAAGCAATATTCTAAATAACTTTAAACTTATTGTACAATAGAGGCATCAAGGAATGTATCTCTATTTCCATATACTCGATTTTGAAAAAGAAAATGATGAAAATTGGAAAAATGTATAAGCTTTTTAACGATGATGTAATTGAAATATTTGAAAGAGAAAAAACTATAAAAAGCATCAAAACTATGGGTACTTACATTTACAGGAGATTAAACAGGCCTTAAGGAACCGAGTAAGCTCAAATAGTGCACTGAAGAACCACTTTTTCTACCAAAAAATCAGAAAAATTGTAAAAGAACTTCCAACAACGAACAATGGCGTCCTGTCATGACCATTTTTTGCTGCATAAATAATACTGCGCCTAAAAGAAAATATTGATTCAACTAAAATAAGTGTGTATTATTTGTTTATCACGATTTTGTAACAGTTCAATTCGTTTTATACTTACAAAAACAAGATTTAGACAATTTAGAGCAGATCTTTACATAAATATAAAAATGTCAACAACATTTTAGTTCCAAATTATCACACTTTTTCCACATTGGCGCCAGCAGCGTCACTCTTCTTTTTCGTATTTCAGGACTTAAAAGACCAGTAGCCATAGAATCAAAGTAACGTTCTTCTTCTTTTTAATACTTATGGTCCTAAACATGTACCAGCCAGTATCCGAAAAAAAAATTAAAAGAGGAGATATCAAATTATAATCTATGGTTACCTGTCAGACAAAGATAATAACAAAAATAAACAAGGATAGCAATAGTAAATAATTAAAATACATCAAAAGCAGTTTTAAATTAATTATTTTATTATATGATTTTAGACCTTAAAATGAAATCTAACAGTTTAAAATTACGTGATCTAGATAATATCGCTGATATTTACGGTCTAAATATTCGAAATAACGAAAATCTTTTTAGTTTACAAGCTAAAGAATCCAACTGTTTGATAACCATAGACTTAGAATAAAATATTGATAACAAGAACACTCGAGATTCAAGAAAAAGGATTCAAACTAGTTTTATTATATCCTGTATAAACTAATGCTGAATTTATAGTTAAGTCACTTACAAGAAAAAGTAGAGAATTTAAACAGTTTTCAAAAAACAGACTAATTTATCATTACATCAAGTAAAATGTAATACTTGTTGTATCGAGGATATGATTGCAAATACTGGAACACAATGCCAACAGGAATGCTGTGAAGGGATGAAAAATGTTTTACTGATTTATGTAGACAATACACGTACATATTCTTATAATACTTACAAAAATGTCTAGAATGCTCTAACAAAACTGCTATATGCAAGGTATAAGTTAGTCGAAGATACAGAGGTGACTTTAACAAATTTACAGCAAGGATTTGACCAGATTTGAGGCAAAATTCAACAAAATTCTGTAGCTAGTCCTGCTGTAAGAGAAATATCAAAATTATATAAAAGCTGATCAGTGTCTGGTCTTTTAGGTGGTCTTTATGTGCCGGTGTGTATTATTAGTAACGCTCCTAAAAAAAGAAAATTATAATTAAAGCATTGTAAAAGCAATATTCTAAATAACTTTATTTTTATTGTACAACAGAGACATTAAAGAATGTATCTATATTTCCATATACTCGATTTTGAAAATGAAAGTTATGAAAATTGTAAAATATATACACTTTTAACACGTATAGATGTATCAATAGAATAATAATAAATTTTTATAGCAAACTTACGTTTTATTAAAATATACTGGCCCAAATACTGTTGAAAAGTCACAAATTAAATTATTTTATTTTGAAATTCGTATAGCAAAGTTATTGTTTGTTTTTAACAATAATTTTAAAATATTATACTTAGGGCAACCAGATATATACATCACAATGCAATACTATTTTCTTGATAAAATGGTGAAGGAAATTTTTTTTAAATATTTGAAAAAAGAAATAAAATTAAATTCTATAATAATTAAAATAGTAATAAAAGTTCCTAATATATGAATAGTACCTTATAAAGTCAATATACACATTCTACAAGTATTCAAGTGTATAAAGTATATCATTTTATATGTTTCACTAAAGATTTGAATGCAAAATTAAAAATTTCGTGCTGAAAAAAAATATTTTAACTATTTCCCTGAAACGTTTATTCAGAATATTAAATTTTAGGGCAATAACAATCGGTTTGTTCCATGGCCCTTCTGAAGGGATGCTTTACACCAGCCTCTATCTCTCCCATGAGGATATCCTGGACTATTTTTCTGTATTTTTCTTCTTCCCTTTGTCCTTCAGCCAGCTGACGTTCCAGTTCTTCTTTCTCTCTTAACTAAAAAATTAAAGAAAACAAAAAATAATCTATAATTGAATTATTTTTATGGAAATAGACTATATAGTATTTTATATAAACTTTATTTAGTAATACCAGGGTATAGGTAATATAAATAACATGTAAGGTACTTACTCTTAATACATTGTTGTATTCGATTTGTTTGTTCAAGTCAGCTCTTATTGCATAGTTGCCATTTTTTCTAATCTATCACTTTCAGCTTGCAATCTTTCGTTGGTCTCGTACGCCATCTTTAACAGCTCATTTTCAGCTTCCTTATGCTTCAGCTGCTCTTCAGCTTCTTGTTTTTTGTACTTCAGTTGCTCAGCTCTTTCCATCAACACGTCCTGGTCAATAGACATAGAAAAAAATACCTTAGAAAACTTATACCCATAAAAGAGTTTTTTATGTTAACATAGGTTTCAAGAGCACATAGAATACCTATACTGTTTGAAAAATTGTAGTGTATCAAGGGCTATATACAGTGTCATATTGAGATGAGATATTGAGATATGATCACTTTAAAAACATCTCTGCTAAAGTAAAAGTAACTACCAATAAACAATAATAATATAACAATTTAATGACAGTAGGTAGTAAAATTAATAGGTATACCTGTTGAAGTTTGCGTTTCGCTTCGACAACTTTGCACCTAGCTTCGGCCTGCTTGGCTTCAACCTGTTTCCTGTGGATGTCCAACAATTCCATCAACTTTTTCTCTTCGAGTTTTCGTTCTTCTTCCAGTTGTTTCAAGTGCTTTCTGTATAAAGCTGTTTCTCTCTTGGCTTGGGCTGTAGTGTCTTGGATGGCAGCCTTTTCCCTTTCCAGTTCAAGCTGAAAAAGTAAATTTAATGAAATAACGAGTCTGTAATAATATAAATGTTCAAAAACCTGAGCTAAAGTGTTGAACGATCGGTCCACAGCATCTTCTTCTTTTTTTCTTTGCGCGTGCAGCTGTTCCTCGATGGCAATCTGTTCCAGGAGTTCTTTTGCTGCTGCATCTCTTTTGCGACGTTTTGCATCCAGTACTAACATAAAAAAATCGAATTCAGACAAAATAATATAAGTCATGAGTTCAATTGAACAAATACCTTCGATTTCTTCTCTTCTTAGTTGTTCACTAACTTTCTCCATTTCCATTCTTTCCTCAACAGCCGCCTGGTTCATTTCAATCTTTTTCATTTCTTTTTGTTTAACTTGACTGTCCAAAACCTGAAGCAAATCTATTTCTTTCTCTCGTCTCTTGAGCATTTCTTGAACTTCTCGCTCTTTCTATAGATAAAACAGAGAAAAAAAACATGTATAAATGTAAACTTTTTTTGAAAAATCTGTACAGAATTTACCTTGGCTTCTATTTCTTTCATGGTCAGCTCGTGCCACATCTGATCTAGCTCCCTGTCAGATTCTCTTCTAGCTTCATTCTCCCTCATTTGCTGCAGCTGAGAATATTTCGACTCCATCAAGTTCTTCTTCGTCAAGTGTGGTCTCAGTTCTTGACAACGTTGTCTAACAGTAACAAACAAGATTTAAAAAAATATATTAACTGTATAAAGGGTTGTTTTTTTAAGAAATAACGTTACATATATTGTTCTATCCTCTTCTGATGTACAATCTCTAGTCTCTCGGCTTCTCTTTTTGCTTTCAACATCTCAGCTCTTTGTTTCTTCTCCTCCATTTTCAGATCTGAGCCTTTCTGAGCACTCTCCACAGTCTCGTAGTAATACTGTCTTTCCTCTTTACACAGCAAATCTTGTAGCCTAAATATATTTAGTTTAGTTTATATGTTACTATACAGGGTGTGGTCTTAAATAAGTACAAATATTTTTAGGGGTAGTAAATTTCGACCCCAGAAACACGATTAAGAAGTTTTTTTCGCGAAAAAAATTGAAAATTTGAAATTTTTATTTTTTTTTAGTTTTTAGGTAAAAACCATAATTTCTTAGAAAAGATTCGGTATTGGTTCTCAAAATTTAAGAAAAAAATCATATTTTTCTGGAAATTTTCAAAGTAAAATAACTTAGTTATTTTGGACTTGAAAACGGTAAAGAAAAATATGTTTCTTTTAACGAGGTCTACCAGCCCTGAAGATATTTGCACTTATTTAAGACTCACCCTGTATAGTCACGATGATTCTGAAGTGTAAGCAACAAATTAGAACAGAAGCAAAAATATGCAAGGAACCAAAAATAACTTTTAAAAGAAAAGGAACAAAGATCTGAGAAGCAAAAATTTGAATTAATTACTCAAATGAAAAAGGAAAAAAAAAGAAGAGAAACAAGATTTAAAATGAAACAATAAGAGAAGGAGAAACAAAGAAAATGGAACTAAAAAAAAAAGAAAAAATGTAGGGAAGTTTTATATACATATGAGAAGAAATACAGTCATGATGATCATAAGAAAGAATCAAAAAGAAGGAAAGTAACAAAGGGAGAAGAAGCACAAAAAAAGAGAAACAATGAGAACAGAAGCAAAAAATAAGAGACTAAATATAAAGCAAAGGCAAGCAAAAAAAAGAGATAAAACAGTCATGATAATTTTAAGTTGTATTTACTCAAAAAGCAAATAAAAAGAAACAAGAAGAGACACAAGAAAAAAAACGAACGAAAGAGAAGGTAGGACCAAAAAAAACTAGACCCAATAACAGGAAGACAACCAAAATAAAAGAAGAAAAACAAAAATGTTAGATATAATAATCGAAACAAAAGAAGTAGAAAGAAACAAAAACAAAAAAATCAAAAAAGTAGAGAATAAAAGAAAAGAGAAGCAAAAAAGAAGAAAACTTACTTTTTTCTTCTTTCTTCTACTGTCTCCTCGTAAGCTTTCATTTTTTCATTAACCCTATCGTTTATGGCTCGCTGCAGACGCTTCATTTGAACATGCTTCTCGTACTTTATAGCGAAAGCATTGCTGGCAGCATTATATTTTTCCCGTTCTACTTTCAGATTGTCAAAGGAGTCTTTGCGTTGCTTGTAGTGATGCATTCGAACATGCTGGTCGGTGTTAGGCTCGTACTTTCCAATCTAATCATTTTTGTGAATTGAACATTACGAAAATTGTAACAAATTTTCTAAAATTCTTTTACCATGTCTTTCTGACGATTTTTTCTGTTTATTAGAAAAATATACGCCCTATTATTATGAATAAATTTACTTAACATGGGATCTGGCTGGAGTTGAATAGCTGGGAAATCTTATATCTGCGGTACGGGAAACTCCTTGAGTTTCCCGCCGGCATTT